CCCCCCTACAACCCCCCCCCCCCCCCCCCGCATGCACAGCCGTGTCCGACGAGGGTTCCACATCTCTCAATCCCACCTTGAAGGATTATGTAAATTAACTTTGACCTCCTGCAAGAATAAAAAAGGGCCGGGGTCCCACATTAAGCAGACCCCAACAAAAGCCAGTGAACAAAACAGTACAGATCCAGAAAAGCTGCACGTGGCACCAGGTCACAAGAAGCCCTGTCTATTATGTTGTCCAAGATCGCCACGCCTCCTTTCCTTTGACACAGCCTGGGGTGAATTACAACAGATCTGAGCACAATACAGCAGTCTCTGGTGTTCATTCTGGCTTATTCATGCGACTTGGATCAGGGACAAGAAAGAAAAGCGATTACTGACAGCACAGCATTTTTAACACACCAAAGCTGAACCTAGGTCAGATAGGAAGACAAATAAAAAGCCAATCCACAGGCACAGGAAAAGTGCAGAAAACTCACAACACAAACATGCACATGAACACATTCATTCAAAAACATAAATAGCAGAGGACAGTAAAATTAAATATACAATAGAACACTCAAAAAAGCAGTTACAAAAAGCGCAAAATGCATATGTGGGTGTTCAATATTTTGTTATATTTTTCAGTAATATATTCATCTGACACTCCAGGAAAGCCTTTTCTCATGTGAACTAATTGTTTCACATTTAGTTTTGTATTTGTTTTATTGAAAAGGGTGTTTGTATAGTTTACATGGCTCATAAAATACTAGTAAATCTGACAACTAATTACAAAGAATGCATGTAACACATTAAATTAAACATGACATTTTGAATTACAAACACCGAAATAGTATTTACTTGTAAAACATTCTCAAATCATTTTTAACAGTGTGTGGGTCAAAACGTTTTCCATTCGCCATCTGGAAAACAAATGATGGGAGAGGAGGAAAAATGAAAGGAAAAGAGAAAGACGGAGATAGTAGATAGTAGCAGAACAGCAAATTGCAGGATGAGCAAACACCAGAAAAGGAAGCATGGATGGATGGACAGGAAGGTAGATTTACCTGTGCCACAGCATGTGTGGAGTAGTCAGGATTATAATCCAACCTCTTTTTAGGAGGCTGGGTGCCCCGCCACCCGAATAAACAAACGAACAGCATAGAGGTGAAGATGAGGTGGAGAAGCAGGTGCGTCATGGGGAAAAAGACACATGTGGAGAAAGTGACAACGTTAGGGCATGGAGAAACAGAGATCACACAAAACACACACAATGTACACACAAACGAAGGGTGAATACTAGTGAACCTTAGTGTGTTGAGAGCAATCGTGCCCACACATGCTTCACCTACCTTACACACACTGCCGCTTGTGTGTACATACTGTATACTACACACAACGGTGAAATTACATAGGGTTTCACTCATATTTTGCTTGTTTACTCATGGTGGCAGCAAACAAGCAAGGAAGAGTGTGTTCTATAGGAGCTGGAGGACCTGTGCATAAATATCTTATTTATGAAAATACAGTGGCCTCCAAAACATATGGACATGTTTATGAATTTTAATGCATTAGATAAAATAAAATAATACAAAATTCAAACTTTGGAACAAATTACACTCCTATTTACGCAATCATTTTTGCAATTACATTTGCAACTGGTCCCAATGTCATTTTAGTTAATGTACAACATTGAGAAGTCTGGGGTTATTAAGATATTAACACAATGCTAAATGCTAAAGGAAGCAGGAAGGGGATGAGAATCTGGTGGTTTCTTCTATATATATTAACAATTTTTGTACTTTTTCATTTTACTGCCTCCCTATGAATCACTTACACTACTATTCAAGTTTGGGGTCAGTAAGATTTTTTTTTTCATAATGTTACAAAATAATATTGCTGCTTTTATTTAGTTTTTGATCAAATAAATGCAGCCTTGGTGAGTTTAAGAGACTTTGAAAGGTAGTGTATGATGAGTATTCACAACATAAATCACCACAGATATTGACGATGATGCACCTCCATCAAAATTAAGATTAGTTCTCATAAATATTTTGTGAATTTTTCAATTAACTATTATTTTACCTTTGGTCACACAATCATGAATATCTGGTTACATCCTAGTTGTAGAATACATGCTCAACTAAGTTTGACAACCAGAAAGTTGTACATGCTTTTTATTATTTTGTGAACTTCTTAAAGTGAAATTATTCAGCTTGAAAAGTGCAAAATGTATATGTTGGTGTATAGATTAAATATCAAAACAGGACCACTGTATTATCCAACATCTGTTAATTTTTAATAAAAAGAGTTAAACTTGACTTAATAGCGTTTTCTGCACAGGTTCTGCAGCTATAAGAGCTGTAAGCTGTAAGAGCAGGTGTGTGATACTGCAAACAGAGCCAAAGCAAAAACACAGTGTTACACACTAAAAGTTAAAACTGATTAAAAACCACTGCTATTCTTCTAAAGACAACATTGTACCCCATAATACTTGCTCTTTCTGTGAGTATCTTGAAAACAGAGCATGATTGTTTACTTGAAATATTAGCCTTAGGATTTAACATCAGACATATCATATGTGTCTGATGTCTTACCCACTGCCTCTAACATTATTATTGTGCAAATTGTTATTGTGGTGATGTTAAATGTCATATTTCTGTTTTCAGTGAGCAAATTACACCAAGTTCTGAACAAGTCAGAACTTGAATTCAGAAACGACACACACACACAGGTTTGTTTTTGTGAAAAGTGGGGACATCCCATAGGCGTAATGGTTTTTATACTGTACAAACCGTATTTTCTATTGCCCTACACCAACCCTACCCCTAAACCTACCCCTCACAGGAAACTTTGTGCATTTTTAGATTTTCAAAAAAACTCATTCTGAATTATTTATAAGCCTTTTGAATTACGGGGACACTGAAAATGTCCTCATAAATCACCTTCTCGTTGTAATACCTATGTCATACCCATGTTATTATACAAATTTGTGTCCTCATAAACCACATAAACACACACACACACACACACAAATAAACAAACAGATGCTTGGCATTACACAACAGCATGTGTTTACCGGACAAGGAGATTACAGCCTACAGCATGCCAACCTGCTGCACTCTCACTCAACTTACCGGCCGTCCAAACTCCAACTCGGAAAAGAATTTAAACCAAGGCTCGTTCTCTAAATCTATGTCATCTGGGTTTAAATCAAATGTCTGGGGCAAGAAGCAACATAGAAAAAGAGAGGTAAGAAGAAGAGGAAAAACAATGAGAGGAAAACAGAGATGGAAATCAGGGTTAGGAGGACCAAAATATGCTGTAAGGACTGGTGAGCAAAGAACAGAGGAGGATAAAATTTGGGTCATCAACACATTCTCACTCACACACATATTGCACACATACATATATGACCATATGTAATGTCAAATTAATAAAACTAAAGACATAATCCACCCCAAAATTTAAATTCTGTCATAATTTGCTCACCCTCATATTATTCAAAGCCTGTATGACTTTCTTTCTTCTGCTGAACACAAAAGATGATATTTTGAAAAACAGCTTTGGTTCCCATTGACTTGCATTGTATGGGGAAAACAATACAATGGAAGTCGATGGGAACTGAAACTGTTTGGTTACCATCTTTCTTCAAAATATCTTATTTTGTGTTCCACAGAAGAAAGAAGATATATTGAAGAATGTTGGAAACCAAACAGTTTCGGGTCCAATTTTTTTTTGCGTTCAGCAGAAGAAAGAAATTCATACAGGTTTGAAATGACATGAGGGTGAGTCTCACCCTGCGTCCCAATGTTCATACTATCCATCCTAAATAGCATGAGATTAGAATTAGTGTGTCCCAAAGCATAGTATGTTGAAAACAGTATGCCAAAAGTCCCCGGATGGTCTACTATTTCAGGTCGATTTTTGAAGTGTGGATCCGTGCACACTCTAATGGCTAATAATACCCACAATCCAATGCGCTTTGACGAATGATTCGGTTGAGAACTACAAAAAGCGTCAAAAAAACTACAGACATGGCGGATGCGCACGACCAGCGGTTAAGTAGAGAGGTTTAGATAAAGGGGGTTGAGTTACTAATAATCAACATTTAACCTGGTAAAATAATGTTTATTTAATCTTATCTATGTTATATTTCATCTGCAACAGCAATGTAAACTTTTATAAACATCCGTTTGGTCATTAACTTTTAAATGCATCATTATGCAGAAAATATGAGCAGAGTTCTCTGCATAAAGACCCGCGGCTGGCAGATCAACGTGCTACTTCTTTTCTCTCCGATATGGTAGGAAGTTAAATGAAATGAAATGTGGATGTTAACTGTGACAAGATGATTGACAGGCCAGTTTACAGTGACAGGATGCGTGTAACAGGTGCGACAGAGCGTACAGTTAAAGACGCAATTGTATGACGTGATAGTATGTCCCAAAGCTTGCATACTCTTCTACTGCACACTCAAAAGTGTATACTTTTTCTTCACCAAAACAGTACATACTTTAAGGGCATAGTAGGCACATTGGGACGCAGCATCAGTTTCATTTTTGGGTGGACTGTCCCTTTAATATGTGTTGTGCCTCTCAGTACTGTCCAAAAGGGGGAGACATCATGCTTCTTCCTCTCTGCTCTCTCTCTAAAATCTCTTTTTTTCTCTTCCTTAAGCTATGACTATACATGCTGAGAAAGCTGCCCACTCATTTTGCCACCTGTGACATCTCCCACTGCCACATCCACTGTGTTTGTGCTGAGGGCAGTGCTGTGATTCAGCCTCCTGACATTTCTATCTCATTGTTCTGTGAACCGAGCCGCTGGCTACGACTGCGCTGCTTTGTCTGACACCCTTCCAGCTTTCTACATCTACATTGCAAAACAAAAGTTCAATTGCTGTCAAAGGAGACATAAACCACTGAGGTAATGCCTCTCTTGAGCCATTTTATTTGTCTCGCCTTAGACAAATACAGTAGAATGTGACATTATTAAGGGGAGAATGGGACGTACTGTATTGCAAAATTTAAATCTGCATTGTCCCCTTCAAAAATACCACAGCTTAATGTTTCAGGTGAACCTAATAACTGATTGCTTTTAGTGCAAAGATTTGACCTACTACATGAACAGATACACAAAGGAAAAAGAAAGCTTGCTGAAGCACCACATTGCTTACAATAAGCAAACTCATGGCTGATGGTCCATTATTTGGTCAAACGATCCATGAAACAGAGGGAAAACACAGCCTTAACACATGTCCAATAAGCAGGCTGGAAAACTGCAGTTTGACACTGTAGTAAACAGTAAGTTGGGAATGCAACACCTTCATAAATTAGAACTCAAATGGCTGTAGGCTACAATGAAATAGAGAGTTTTCATAAGACAGGATTGCCGTTCAAAAAAAAAAATTGCCGTTTTTTTTAAAGACAGTTAAAACAATAATATTGTAAAATAGTATTATAATATAAAGTAACTGTTTTCTATTGTAAAATATTTTAAAATGTAATTTATTCCTTTGATGGCAAAGCTGAATTCTCAGTCTTCAGTGTCACCTGATCCTTCAGAAATCATTCTAATATGCTGATTTAGTGCTCAAGAAACATCTATTCGTATTATTAATGTTTAACAGTTGCTGCTTCATATTTTTGGGAAAACCATGATTCATTTTTTTCAGGATTTTTTGATGAATAGAAAGTTCAAATGAATAGCATGTATTTGAACAGAAACCTTCGTAACATTTTAAATTGCTTTACTGTCATTTTTTATCAATTTAATGCATCCTTGCTGAATAAAAGTATCTTTCTCTTTATTTATTCCTTCTCTTTCTAGCTTGTACTTATTTGAACAATGCCTAAAACTTGGTATTACAAGCACTTCCTGTATCTGTTTGCCTCTTTAAGAAGAATCACTTTATGTATTAAGTGTAAATAGTATTAAGTCACTTTGGATAAAAGCGTCTGCAAAATGACTAAATGTAAATGTAATATAACAGATAAATTAAACAAATGTACGGTGGCTATACATATTTGGGCATTACAGCTAAACATAAAACATTTGAATCTACACTACCTTTTATAAGATTTTTTAAACTGTCTTTTTAAAAAGTTTTTGAATCGTCTTTTATGCTCACCAAGGCTGCATTTATTTAATCAAAAATACAATAAAAACAGTAATATTGTGAAATATTATTATCATTTTAAAGAACTGGTTAGTCAATGCCTAAAACTTGGTATTACAAGCACTTCCTGTATCTGTTTGCCTCTTTAAGAAGAATCACTTTATGTATTAAGTGTAAATAGTATTAAGTCACTTTGGATAAAAGCGTCTGCAAAATGACTAAATGTAAATGTAATATAACAGATAAATTAAACAAATGTACGGTGGCTATACATATTTGGGCATTACAGCTAAACATAAAACATTTGAATCTACACTACCTTTTATAAGATTTTTTAAACTGTCTTTTTAAAAAGTTTTTGAATCGTCTTTTATGCTCACCAAGGCTGCATTTATTTAATCAAAAATACAATAAAAACAGTAATATTGTGAAATATTATTATCATTTTAAAGAACTGGTTAGTATTTGAATATATTTTGAAATGTAGTTTATTCCTGTGATGGTTTCAGCAATGATAACTCCAGTCTTCAGTGTCACATGATCCTTCAGGAATCATTCTAATATGCTGAATTGTGCTCAAGCATCATTTCTTCTTATTATCAATGTTGTGCAATAACAGTTCAGGATTCTTTGATGAATAGAAAGTTCAAAAGAAGAGCAATTATTTGAAATAACACTAAAAGCAATCTTTTATAACATTATAAATGTCTTTACTGACTATTTATGCTATATAAATTAATTCAATTATATCAAAAGAAAAATCTTATTGACCTCACAATTTTAAATGGTAGTTTATACGACCAAATTCTTTAAAAAAAAAAAAATATTATTTTAAAGAAACATAAATTCTCCCTTAAAGCAAATATCATAGTCAAATGTCATAATAAAACCATTGTTTAAAATTAAGACAAACAATATTTGGACATTTTCAAGATGTCAGCTCTTTAGTTTTAGTCTATTTTTTTAAAAACATTATTTTTAACTCAAATCAATGTTTGATGCATATTATTTGTTTATTTGCTATAGAATATAACCATTTTTATTGTACATTTTATTACAGTTACTATATGCTAAAAACACTTCTTACAACGCAAAAACACAGAATTCAGACTTTCACTACACACATAGTGTTAGATTTTAAGGAAGCAGAAATGAATGTTAATATCAGATCTTTAGATTTCACAGAACTTACCTTTGTTTATGACAGCGTATGTTGCATTATATGTGTCTGCATAGTCATCATCTGGTGAAAACAGCATTAAAACATTTTTAAATGGAAAACTCTGTGTGAGATTAAAACACACACGACAGGATATGTTCTGTGTATCCTCCCACTCACTCCATCATACACACCTGCTTTATGAACCATGTGGATCTGTTTGAACATGGTCTTGTACCAGTCCTTGGGTCTGTCCACGGTCTAAATAGAAGCACAAACACACACACAGAAGTGGTTGCCTTGTCAGTTTGCTGGTTAAGCGCATAAACAGCTAACAGCATTTGTCATTTCCTGACAACCAACACAAACACTAGAGCACAGAGAGAAAAACAGACAGGGAGTATCCTAGTAACCTGCCAAGAATGTTCTCTTCTGCTCACAAACACACATTCACAGATAGTCTGAACTGCTGAGAGCTCAAAAGCATTCCTCTAACCACAATTAGAAGATCAAATGTCAGAACAACTCAAACACAAATCAAGAATAAAATGCCCTGTGGTTGCCTTGTCAGTTTGCTGGTTAAGCGCATAAACAGCTAACAGCATTTGTCATTTCCTGACAACCAACACAATCACTAGAGCACAGAGAGAAAAACAGACAGGGAGTATCCTAGTAACCTGCCAAGAATGTTCTCTTCTGCTCACAAACACACACATTCACAGATAGTCTGAACTGCTGAGAGCTCAAAAGCATTCCTCTAACCACAATAAGAAGATCAAATGTCAGAACAATTACTATATGCTAAAAACACTTCTTACAACGCAAAAACACAGAATTCAGACTTTCACTACACACATAGTGTTACATTTTAAGTAAGCAGAAATGAATGTTAATATCAGATCTTTAGATTTCACAGAACTTACCTTTGTTTATGACAGCGTATGTTGCATTATATGTGTCTGCATAGTCATCATCTGGTGAAAACAGCATTAAATTTTTAAATGGAAAACTCTGTGTGAGATTAAAACACACACGACAGGATATGTTCTGTGTATCCTCCCACTCACTCCATCATACACACCTGCTTTATGAACCATGTGGATCTGTTTGAACATGGTCTTGTACCAGTCCTTGGGTCTGTCCACGGTCTAAATAGAAGCACAAACACACACACCGAAGTGGTTGCCTTGTCAGTTTGCTGGTTAAGCGCACAAACAGCTAACAGCATTTGTCATTTCCTGACAACCAACACACAATCACTAGAGCACAGAGAGAAAAACAGACAGGGAGTATCCTAGTAACCTGCCAAGAATGTTCTCTTCTGCTCACAAACACACATTCACAGATAGTCTGAACTGCTGAGAGCTCAAAAGCATTCCTCTAACCACAATAAGAAGATCAAATGTCAGAACAACTCAAACACAAATCAAGAATAAAATGCCCTCAAAAGCGATTAACAGCTGATCTGCTGTTTTAAATCTGACCAGTGACAGTCAGACAGTTAGATGTCATACTGTTTAAAAAGAATGAGTGATGGGTTTTGTTCTGTTATGCTGATGCACCATGATAAGTAATACAATATCACGTAAATCTCAGTTTTTGTACTAACCATTCGCAACCACAAGAAGTATCAGAACATTCTGTCAGTCCTTTTTGGTTTCTATTTCTGTGCCATTGTGGTGTATCGCGTCATCAACTCAAAATCTCATTGGATCAAAACACTGCTTCATAAAAGTAACTTTATATAAACAGTACAATAAACAGAAGTTAATACTAAGTAACTTTTAGACACAATAATGGCAATTACTTTGTGTATTTTGCAAACAAAAATAGCTCCAAGTGAAATCAAAACCACTCGCGTTTCTTTCATGATTCAATAATGAGTACGTTTACATGGACAACAATAATACGATAATAACACGATTAAGACAATACTCTGATTAAGAATCTACCATGTAAACAGATTTTTGATTAACGTTACCGTAATCTGGCTAAAGTCATACTCATACTCGAAGTAAACACAAATCGAAGACATGTGGAGTATTCCTAGTTTAGCTGCATTATTGAAGTACAGTCTAGACATGTACACACCTTAATCACACTATTACCGTTGTGTAGGACTTTTTGCCGACAGTGGTCAACCATTTGACGGCAAACAAAAGAGCATGGCTTCAAGCAAGAAGGCATATTTTTATCCATCTTCGTCTGTTTGCATGTATAGCATGGCATATAATTAACTGCACTTGAAGCTATCGTAAAATTAAAAATGAAACACCCAAAACTGTTTAGTAACGAAGACGAACTGTGTGTTGATACATGAAATTCTGGAGGGAATGTCGGATGGCGTCGCGTGGAAACGTAATGAGGTGTACCATAAATCGATCTATGTACTATAACATGTAAAACGGGAACTTGAAAGGAATATTCTAAAAAGAACTCATGTAAACACCTTAATCCTAATATTGTTTTATTCAGAATAAGGTAAATAATCAGATTACTGATGTCTATGTAAATGTACTCACTCCTAAAGACAACATACTGGCTTAAGGATGTAACTCGCAGACTGTCAGTTTGTCTGAATATGAAACAAGTGCTGTTGGACTAAAATAATACAATTCGAAATCCAGATCAAACTGATTTATAATAAACAATTAATGCTTACTGTTTCTATCACATGATGCATCAGTTATGGACAGACAAATTACTTGTCAGTAAGCTTAGCTGATTATAAATATAACAGTCATAACCTAAGACAAAAAAAAATCACTAAATGCTTTGTAAAGTCATAGAGACACCAGTAATGACAACGGTGTCTAAACTGTGGTATATATAATCAACTCTCAAGTTTGCTACAATGAAACATAGCTGGTATATATCAAATCAGAAGCAAAATACACAGAAAAAAGGTGCAGGATTTACTTTTAAACAGTTTTCACTCTGAAATGGCTAGTAAATGTCACAAATAATTACAAAAAACAGCAAGTAACATTGAATCAAGCATGCGATTTGTAAGTAGAAAGACTAAAAATAGCATTTTCTTGTAAAACATACTTAAGTAATTTTTTATTTTATTTAAAACTAAGAAAAATCATTTTTATAGTTGTATTTAATTTCTGTCATTTTTGTCAGTTCCCTTAAAAATGCCTGGATATCACTCACCGTTCGGATGGCGATGGGAATACCTGACTCATCCACTGGTCCAATGCCTTCGTAATGGGGCGCTTTAATGATGGACACCTTCTTCTCTTCCTCTGAGAAACGAGCGATGGGCACAGAGCTACTGACCACTGTCTCACCAGAGACAACAGTCTCTCTCTTCACCGTCTCTGAACCCTCTGAGTGAGAGAGTGAGAGAATGAGAGAAAGGTTGACGACAGATTAGAAAAAAATACTAAAACAATGGCTGTGTAATATTTTCTGTCCTTTACAATTGATTCTTGTCAAATTGTGACCCCAGTAACAGTCTCTCTCTCTGTCACTCTCCCTCACACACACGTCATTGATTACTGTGCCGCCACTGGCTCTTATTTAGACTGCTGCCATAGATATGGTCACACTGCAGGACTTAAATTTTGTTATTGTTAGGACTTCATCGGATGCTAAGATTCATCATAAAGGAAATTAATTGGCCTTCCATGAGAACGTCACACTAAGCAATCAAAAGCTGCCTTTGATGAAAGTAATCTATAATGATGCTCAATTTGTATCAGATGGCATAATCATGGCAAATATCACACATAGTGTCAGCCTGAAAAAGAAATGGTGACAGAAATTGGGAATAGAAACTAAATGGCATGTTTGAGCTTGACAGTCACAGTCCAATCTAATCTAATAGAGCAGGAACACAGACATGGCACAAGCTCTCACCCTGACTAAGCTTCCTGAACTATGAAATCTGTATGACACAGCATACATGAGACAGCTACATTTATTCCTTCACATCTATGCAGGTTTGCAGTAGCAAAAAGGCAATGACATGAGGAAACACTACAGCAAACTATTTGTCAGCGTCTTTATTTAAACTACTACAAAAATTATATGAATTTGCCTTCCTAAGCCAATCCTTGCCAAAGGGTCAGATCTTTGTCTCTCCTCAGTTTCCCTCTGTTCAGGTATTGATTGCTCTGGTCTGGCCTAATGGATGCAAATGCATCATATCCTGAGGACCGGACTGCACCGTTAACTGCCAATACAGGCATCCACTAACAAGAATTGTGCATTACAAATCCATTATTTCAGAGCACCAAAACTAGGACTCAATCAATAGAAGGACAAAAAACAAAAACAAAAAAAATTAAGGAAAGTCTACATTTGCTGCGTCTCAGTATACCTACTTCCATACTACGTAGTATGTGAAAAACAGTATGCTAAGAGAGTAGAATGTCAGAATTCACAGCATTCTAAAACTAGCAGACAAAAGCTACCCAGATGACAGATTGCTTCTGGTGAGACTTTGGAGTGCACATTTGATGGACACTTTATCTCATTAAGGTACACGAGAGGAGTTGTGAATGGAAGTTAAGCGTCATAAATGACACTCGAAGGTCATGTGACAATGACAACATGGTATGTAAAAACGTAAAAAAATACAACGTAGTACATCTGAATTTCATTTATACTACCCATTTTCATTCTACACTGAACAAAATTATAAACGCAACACTTTTGTTTTTGCCCCCATTTTTCAAGAGCTGAACTCAAAGGTCCTGGGCTGGTGTGGTTACACGTGGTCTGCGGTTGTGAGGCCGGTTGGATGTACTGCCAAATTCTCTGAAACGCCTTTGGAGACGGCTTATGGTAGAGAAATTAACATTCAATTCACAGGCAACAGCTCTGGTAGACATTCCTGCAGTCAGCATGCCAATTGCACGCTCCCTCAAAACTTGCGACATCTGTGGCATTGTGCTGTGTGATAAAACTGCACATTTTAGAGTGGCCTTTTATTGTGGCCAGCCTAAGGCACACCTGTGCAATAATCATGCCGTCTAATCAACATCTTGATATACCACACCTGTGAGGTGGATGGATTATCTCGGCAAAGGAGAAGTGCTCACTAACACAGATTTAGACAGATTTGTGAACAATATTTGAGAGAAATAGGCCTTTTGTGTACATAGAAAAAGTCTTAGATCTTTGAGTTCATCTCATGAAAAATGGGGGCAAAAACAAAAGTGTTGTGTTTATAATTTTGTTCAGTGTATATAGAACGTGCTTTTTTAACTGCCGTGAAGTAGGTTCCAGACAAAACAAAAAAACTTGTCAAAAAATTGGAAACATTATGATTTTCAATTGTTTTAATGAGGTCAAATTATGCAGAAACCACAATATACTGACATTCAAATGTTTGGGGTGTGTGTGTTTTGTAATAGAAATTAATGCTTTTATTCAGCAAATATGCATTAAATTGATCAAAAGTGACAATAAAAACATTTATAATGTTACAAAAGATTATATTTCAAATAAATACTGTTCTTTTTCTATTCCTCAAGAAAAAAAAAAAAAAACAACCGTGAAAAAAATGTTTCCACAAAACATTAAGCAGCAAAAGCTGTTTTTAACATTGATGATAATAAGAACCATTATTAATAACTGAGCACCAATAACAATTGAGCAGTTAATCAGCAAATTTAAATGATTTCTAAAGACTGGAGGGAACTTTTATGGTTGTGGTATATCATTTTAAGGTACACTATGCAACTGTAACTTTATACAGCATCAAAAATGCATCCAGTTTTTAAAGACATAAATAACATGTGTTTTTCATATTTTCATTGGCCTCCTTATGCATAGAGTACCTTAACATAATGTAACTTTCTGGTAAAATTGGTGAAAAACCTTCTGCAGGGAGATAAGCTTTAAAAGCACTTGCCTTCATGATTTGCTTGTATTTTCCTCTTACACTAAAATTCAGCGAGCCAGTATATTGTATATGAATTATTGAATGTTATATATACACTACTGTTCAAGAGTTTGGGGTCAGTGAGATTTTTTTTCTAAGGATGTATTAAATTTATCAAAAGTGACACTAAAGACATTTATTATGTTATAAAGATTTGTATTTTAAATATATTCTGTTCTTTTGAACTTTCTATTCTTCAAAGAATCCTGAAAATAAATGTAAAAAACTAAACTGTTGTCAACATTATTAATAATAAGAAATGTTTCTTGAGCAGCAAATCAGCATCTTAGACTGATTTCTGAAGGATCATGTGACACTAAAGACTGGAGTAATGATGCTGAAAACTCAGTTTTGCATCACAGGAATAAATTATATTTTAAAAAACATTCAACTACAAAGTAGTTATTTCAAATTGTAATAATATTTCACAATATTACAGTTTTTACTGCATTTTTGATTATATAAATGCAGCCTTGATGAGCATAAGAGCGTTCATTAAAACATTTCCATTCCAAACTTTTGACAAGTACTGTATCTACTAGACCAGTGTTTCCCAACCTTTTTTTAGTCGCGGCACCCTTTGGAGAACTAATTTTCGGCAGCCGAAATTTCAGTGCATCTCTAATTATTGGCGACATCAGAAATGGATATTATATAATAGCTGCTTTTTTGAACATTAGCAATTTAAAAATATTAAAAAAAGATTTTTTATGCAGCACCCCTGCTCTCGACAGGCGGCACCCCGGTTGGGAAACACTGTACTAGACTACGTGTAACATGTACTGCTATTTAAAGTGCACGACGAAGGAGTATAATCCAAAAATAATCTTTTAATTATAAATCCACAAGGAATACACACAGGAGAATCTCAGGAGCAAACGTAGCACACACAATGGAAAAGTAAAAATAACCCACAACAACTGAATAGAACAGGGAGTATAAATAAGCAGACTGAATAAGCAACATTTTGCCGATAGTAAAAACTCTGCTTTGTAATACTAGCTATGGGTGTGTGTGGGATTCTCCACTCACCTGAACTACGATCCTGCAGGATCTTTACCAGTCCTGGGCTGAGGGTTGGGGGTGGAGGTGGGTAAACAGGTGGAGAAAAAGGCCTCTGAGATTGAGAGCTTCCATTCACTGCCATCTGACCCTGGGCAACAAACAAAACAGTTTATAAGTGATGGAAATATGGCCAATGTAATTTGTAGAGTCACTTTGGGTCAAACAAGTATGAGTGGGTGACAGCTATGGGACAATAAGAAGTTAGAAGAATGAGAAATCTAAGACATGAGAGTACACATCAAAAGACAAATTTGAAAATATTACAGACACTGTACAACAAATGTATCTGAGTAATGTCATTACTGAGGAAAATGCTGTTACAAAAAAAGACAAAGGTTGTGATCAGACGTTGGTGCTTCTGTAGTAAAATGAGAGGAATGATGGACGACAAATGGAAAACTGAAAAACTGTGAGACCACATGACAACAAACACTTTAAAGGAACCTTTAGTAGATAATGAGTGCAGGACAATCTATGTAAGAAAGAGTGTGAACACTGGAATATGGTTGCATTATACATTCATATTCCAAAAAAGTTTAAGTCTTCAGTCACCAGAGGCAATATAAAGATGCACATGTTAATCTCAAACACACAACATAATAGGTCACAAGGAAAATCCTAGATCATCATAGAAACCTTAAAGCCCACATGCAATTAAAATGAACCCTATTTCGATTCCAAGTGAACATGAAATTAAAATGGGCTTTTTTCAAACACATTCCTGGACATTACTCCAAAGAAATGTGTATAATCTTATATATATATATATATATATATATATATATATATATATATATATATATACACAGGGACGGATTAATGCACGGGCCTACCGGGTACAGGATTTTAAGCAAAGTGGATTTTAAATGCAGCTTCCAAAAGACCAAAAATGGCTGAATAATATTTTTTTTTAATATTTGATACGATTAGAACGTTCAGTGCAGCAAAGCATCAGCTGCTAAATTCAAATCTGCATTTGTGCTTTGGCTGGTGCTGAGCCAGACGTGTTTTTACAGTGCTGCACATTCTAACCAATCACACAGGATTCTGTTGAGCTTATGAATGCAATGGCCAATCAGAGGCATTCAGATGAGTCATCGCTGAAAAGCCCGTGTTTTGTTCAGTGCGCGCACTCGCTGACTGTATGCTGCTCTTTGGCGAATTCTCTCATCATAAACAAAGTGCAGATGTGTGTACGATGTCAGATATTAATTTCACAGTATAAACAGCTTCAGTGATTATAATGGGAGTTGTTGAGAGTGCATGAACTCTGTCTAGACTGAAGTTAATATTCTTTGATAATGCAAATATTCTTTGCTCTCTTTATGTACAATGAAAGTGTTATAATTAGTAACTTACAATGTTTTTATTAAATTTACGTTAAATACAAAGTCAGTCGTATTAAAAATATTCTATGATATGACACCCATATCTAGTACAAGTTAAAAGACAGATTTTATGCATAGGCTAGTTAATAGATTACACTAATATTAGGCTACTTTTCCCATAGCCCATTATAGATAAACTAGCATGATCTATAAAGGTGCAAAATGCATTTACTTATATTTGAGAATCGTGATATTTTATGATATAGTTAACAAGTTTGGGAAAATTTCGAATAAAAAAGGAACGAAATTTCAACCGAGGGGGGCCTTTATTCGGTCCATGCTCAGGGCACCGCTGAGTCATAATCCGTTCCTGTATGTATGTATATATATATATATA